GAAAATGGCTATAGGAAGATTTTTTCCTCTCTTGTAAAATTTTTAAAATAGGACTTAGCAACTTTACTTTCTAAGCTAGCGATATGTTAACTTTCTTCAATTATTCACGTGCTTGTCGAACTACAGGGCGTATGAGTAATGTGAGTGAATCCTTCCAATGCAGCAATAGTACGGTCGCTGCTGCGTAGTGGTTGAAAGTGCGCACTACTCCTCCATTGGGCTTGGGTTCGAGCCCAATTTCCGATCGACATAAAAAATAAAACGAAAAAGTTTTTTTTCTAATATGTAGCGATCGCTAAGCTCTTATTGGATAATTGTTGTGGTAATTAGCTGGTAATAAAATATATCTGGGAGATTTTTTTGGCCTAACTTGAGGGGTTCAAAGTTATGCGTTGTGCATAATGTAGATATCTAGATAGCGTGGAAATGTATTACCCTTTTCTAATCACCTTTTGCACATTCGTTTTTTTTCCTTTCTTATTGCGAATTTTGTCACGGCTTTGCTTTCTGCATTCCATANTCACGTGTATCCGTCCTACCTTACCTTGTAAGTAAAAGACAACGTGAATTGAGTAACTGTATTTTAATTACGTTTGTTCTCACCAGAATTTTTATAACTTTTCCTACAAGCTGTTTTATTCTAATAAACCTTTCAATGTTAACATATACCACCGTATATGTACACATACATACATATGTACACACATTTGTATGGATAGTTTTAAAATGCAAAATGTCTTTCCACAAAAACAAAGGTCTTATAGTTTTTTGTTAAGATATTTACATAAGTACATATATAGGTGTTGGGTTTTTTTTTTTTTTGGTTTATAAAGATGCACATACATACATACAAACTGTACATATGTACTTATAATTTTGAATACAGTTGTTCACACGTTTTACTTACTTGCATTGGCCCAAAGGATTATTTATATACTCACAGGGATATGAAAATAATATTGTAATGAAGTTATGAAAAATTACAAGCGTAAGTATGTACTTATCGTGACATTAAAATATTTATGACTGAGGTACCTACATATGTATGTATGTTTTCTTATTTTGTAAATGGCTAAGTGAAAAGGTTAACCTTCCGCAAATGTAGAGTTCTGAAACGAAGCAAACTTTTTGATTTGCATATTTTAATGCATGAATATTTCAGCTGTATTTATATTTTTTATTTAATTAATTCCTTGCAAAATTTAACCTGCCAAAATTGAATATAAGCAATCTATTAAAATAGCCTCCTACACGATTCCGAGACATCGTTCATTATAATCACCGGATTGAGGGCATTATGGTGTCAGTGCCCGAGAAGGCTTGCAGGGAGCTTCTAGGGATCTCAATGTAATTTATTCTGGTTTCTAGCCTAATAGTGGGTATGTATACCCGCACACATTCTGCAACCTTAGACTGAACCCAGGAACACATACAAAAAATATTGCACGCATCCCGCGCCTATTTAATATCTAATGGACCTGTGGCCTTTTACCTGCGTTGAACGTGTAAAAAGTTTTAACGGTATCTGAGGGTTAAAAAACTTACCACTGCTTACTTTATTTAAAAGTGTATTTTAACTTAATTTTATTCGCAAATATACATAGTTTTTGCTAATCCAGCTTTAAATTTCATTTTGATGGTTGCTTAAATAACAATATTGTGAAATGCTTGAGCTAGACAAGGATAATTACGCAAAAATAAGCATTCTTACAGGGTTGCACCTTAGAAGGGCAACATCTTTTGAAAGAAACGAAATCAACAATTAAAACAATTTATATATCGCGTAATTATTGCGCCAATATATAGTACGTCTATCAAAATATTTTAGTATATATTGAATGGGGATAATTTAATTATTAATGAACTAAAACAACCTCACGGTACTATTTTTGTTTTGTTCTTTAGTTACTTTTTAGCTCAGCACACATAATACTGCTCACCAGCGTAGCTAACCCATTTTTGAGTTTTCCCGATTTCGACGACGAAATGCCACGATTTTGCGCTAAATTTAATAAAATTTTTCTACAATACATACTTACACATACAAAAAAATTAATACGTATTTTAATGCAGGTATTGCAGTTTTTTTTTCACTTACACGATCAAAAGATCGAAACGATGCTTCTTCCATCTAAGACGCAAACCCCGACTAAGGCGACATCTATATGCGAAATAATGACATCAGGACAAAAGCTGTCTTGAAAGTTTAATATAAATACATACAGATGTACACTAGACTGTTTCAAAAAAAAAAAAAGGTTTCCGATCTCCGATATGCAGTGAGATTTCATATATATGATAAAAAAAAGAAGGCGCCTGCTTCAAGATGGGCTTGAAAAACTTAAATTTACAATTTTCACAAATTTGAAATTTCGTGTTTCTATAACTAAGGTCTTATTTTTATGCAGAAACAAAATTTGGTTGCTATCTATACCACAATTGAACGCTGAAAACGATGGAATAGCTGGCTTTACGTAAAAGATTACTTATGCCTCACCATACTGCATTTATGAGATAGTAAATTTAAAAAAAAAATCTGCTTTTCTAATTTTAAATTCAAATTAAATAAAAAAATATGTGATTTTTGGAGCCGGTATCACACATACACACATATCAAAAGTATTTTGGTAATTTTCTCAAGATATTTTTATTTTAAGTTGGTGAATAAAAAAAATGAAAATTTTAACAGGAAAAACATTTAAGAATAAAGAATTTTTTGTAAATTGTTTTAAATTGTGTTAAAGCCTGTTCTTTTACAAAATCATTAAGCTATCAACAAAGAGAATGTATTGATAAAAAAGTTGTAAATGGTCAAAAGAAAATGCTTAACAATTTCTCTTTTATGAAATAAGACTAGGAAAGAATTTTACTCAAACGCCATATTTTGTTCTTAAATATCTAGAGGAAAGGGGGTGGGAATTCATTACACCTCCGCGAACTTATTAGACTCCTTTATAATTCTTAGTAGTTTGTTGAGGGAAAGAAAATGCATCTCGTTCATTCTTAGTACATTCAACCCAAAAAATTTACCATCTGAGTCTGGCGAAGGACGAAAAGCGACAGATAAAATGTTCTGTACAATCTTCATCCTCCAAAGAAGATGTACACAGTGGATCGGCAATGATTCCTTTGGTGACTATATGTCGTCCTCATGGATTGTGCCCTGTAATCAGTCCCATCACTGCTCGTAGATCACTTCTTCCTGCCTGTTAGGCATTATCAGGAAACATTTGGTTATTTTACAGGTATCAATGCCGCACCAACGGCTCTCATGAGTTTTGTTTATAAGATCTTTGATGTAGCCAAATCGTTGACTTCGGTCCAATTGGACGCTCCAGATAACCGCAGTTCGCCAATACATTACGAAATTTCAAGCCCATTCAGCCTTGTAACGGAGTACAGCCTCATCTTACATTTCTCGACTATCTTTGAAGAGGGGCGCGCGCAGATTTAGAAGGTCTTTGGAGCAGCTTACCTGTCGCTGCAGATCCGCAACACCTTTCACCAATTATCCGGTCCGTCCAAGAGTGTCTGAACCTCTCTATTCTTTCCTTGTAGGAAATCAAAATACATAATTTCTTTCAAAAGAGACTGGCCACCTTCTGAGGAACTCTCTGTTCCTGGAACTCCGATCGTCGTGCCACAGGCCAAAAGAGTGCAGAAGGCACTTCGTTTTCATTGCCTCCTCTTGGATCGCTAAATCCAGAGGTAGCAAAGCCTAAGGCCTACGCCTCTAAACACTGGAAGGTTGATACCACCCTGCCCTGAGGACATCCTCTGCCAACCTCTGCCATGATACAAAGGCTAGCTAGCTTCATCCCCCACAGTCAGAAATTTTTTTAGATAACATGAAGTGAATCCAACTTAGTATGGCTTAGTCTACTCCGTGTCTTCTGGACCAAAGAGCACATAGATTTAAAGGTAGCGTTGTCAAACGAACCATTAAACTCTGCAAAAACCCCCGTTATGTACTCACCTGCTTGCAGCCGCACCTCGATCTTTGTTACAAGGTCATATAGAGCTGGTTCACAGGACTTTCCGCTTTGGCTTGCATGTTAAATTGAATCCAAAACAAATTGTTCATTCTTAATTTAGACTTTTATTAAAATATTGTTATAACTTTTATGCGTATATCGTTAAACAATATGTGTAGCATACATGCGATACAAAATAAAAAATTTAAATTTTTATGGCTTACAAAATACTTAACAACTATCTACTAAAATATGCTTTGCTTTCAGGATAAAATTACAGATATAAAAAAGTATATTGAATCAGCTGTATTATTTATGCATATAGTCCATAAGAATGTACAATGTAAATATTTTCTTCGCCTAACATGCAATAAAAAGTAAAAGTGTGGAATATTCATAGCAGCTAAACTTGTGCTATTAAAGTTTTTAAATTGCTCTGCATCCTGTGCATACTCGGTAAATATCACTTGCAAAAGTTACACTTTTCGTCACAACACAACGCTCGTACCAAAAACCCTAACTCTAATTACACCACACTTTGTGCTGAACCGCGTCAACTGCTGTAGTGTTACCCCTCATCCAATCACTCACCTAGCAAATGAGCTGGCTAACCAAAACTTCAATCATATACTCATATCTACCTCTGTACATGCGCACACTCAATAGAGTAGCGCTCTATCTGTGTACACTTCATCCCATACACGCAACTTATCTGCTTCGGGCAGATCTATCACCTCCAATTCATCGGAGATGTTCAAACATTTGAATACATCCGCATCGCGTGAAACTGGCAGCCATAGTTGTTGAGCTGGCATTTCACCTTCCNCCACCTCTTGGCCACCATTTTGTTTAGCATTACTGTTACCGTTTTGGTGGTTGTTTAAGGGAAGTGGTTGTTTTGGTTCTTGTTGTTGTTGTTGTTTTTGCGACGNCCTCTCGGTAAATATCACTTGCAAAAGTTACATTTTTCGTCACAACACAACGCTCGTACCAAAAACCGCAACTCTAATTACACTACACTTTGTGCTGAACCGCGTCAACTGCTGTAGTGTTACCCCTCATCCAATCACTCACCTAGCAAATGAGCTGGCTAACCAAAACTTCAATCATATACTCATATCTACCTCTGTACATGCGCACACTCAATAGAGTAGCGCTCTATCTGTGTACACTTCATCCCATACACGCAACTTATCTGCTTCGGGCAGATCTATCACCTCCAATTCATCGGAGATGTTCAAACATTTGAATACATCCGCATCGCGTGAAATTGGCAGCCATAGTTGTTGAGCTGGCATTTCACCTTCCACCAATGCTCCGTTCACCTCCAACGCCAACTCTACACCATCGCTTACACTATCATCATAACTACTCTGCCGGCTATATTGCTGTGCGCCAGCTTCCTGACCTGCAACGTCTCGCTCCTCTTTGCCACCATTTTGTTTAGCATTACTGTTACCGTTTTGGTGGTTGTTTAAGGGAAGTGGTTGTTTTGGTTCTTGTTGTTGTTGTTGTTTTTGCGACGGCTGTTGCCGATGGTGGTGGTGATAATGGTAGCTATGGTCATGGCCTTCATTCATAGGTATATTAGGATTACCGCATTCGGCAAAATGCACCAGCATTGTGGTCAATCGACGTATGGTGCGAAATTCGGCACTGCGTTGCTTTAGTTTCTTGGCGCCAGCATTGTAGAATAGATAGGATAGATCGTCGGCGTGACAGGTGCCGCGTACGTTGCGACCACAGGTGATGATGCGCATAAAATTGAAGTGTTTGGAATCGAAATCGAAACGATAGAGGTAAGTAGGCGCATTGGCGTGGTGTAGGCGGGAGAGTAGCGTACGTTGAATGCCATGCCAAAAGTATTTGTAGGAGAAGATCTGGAATGTTAGCGGATATTTTTTAAATTAATTTAGTATCGTAAACAATTGGAATTGAGTGAGAAAGAAGAACGGAGAAAAGGTGTTAAATAAAATAAGTGATCCAAATAAACCAGCCTATTTAACGAATTTATGGCCCTAAAAGGGCCTATTTACTGAGAAGAAAATTCTCCCAAACGGAAAAATGTGTGTTCCAATTTTAAAAGGTGTCCGTGGGCATTACAAATTTTCCATGTAAATAATATGAAAAAATGTTTTTTTCTTTAAAAACGATATAACTTTTAAACCGTCCAAGATAAAAATTTGTCTAAGCATATTTCTCTAAAAAATTGCCCTGGTGTTAATTGACTAGACTTAAAAATTTATATACTTACGGACTCTGAAAGTCAAAAAAGCAGAAATGTGCATTTTTAAGACTTTATTATTGCAAATACAGAATGTATTTAGTAGCAAAACTCACTTCATCTCACATCAAATCAACTCACCACACACAAACTCCCCACACCTCTTTTAANCTAAAAGGGCCTATTTACTGAGAAGAAAATTCTCCCAAACGGAAAAATGTGTGTTCCAATTTTAAAAGGTGTCCGTGGGCATTACAAATTTTCCATGTAAATAATATGAAAAAATGTTTTTTTCTTTAAAAACGATATAACTTTTAAACCGTCCAAGATAAAAATTTGTCTAAGCATATTTCTCTAAAAAATTGCCCTGGTGTTAATTGACTAGACTTAAAAATTTATATACTTACGGACTCTGAAAGTCAAAAAAGCAGAAATGTGCAGTTTTAAGACTTTATTATTGCAAATATAGAATGTAGTTTTGTAGCAAAACTCACTTAATCTCACATCAAATCAACTCACCACACACAAACTCTCCACACCTCTTTTAAACTCACGGACTCCACCATACCTAAATTCACCAATACTGAACTCATCACACACGTTATCACTACACCTCATCTAAACTCACCATACCTCATCTAAGCTCACCACGCCTCAATTCACCTCCCTGAATTTCGAGATTCATGGTTTTGAGAACTATTCGTTTAACATATTTATCGATATTTATATCGATAAATTTATGAACTTTTAAATCGTTATGTTTATCGATATATTTATCGGTATTTTTTAGATATATTTATTGATATTGTTNTTAGGACTATTTCGAGATTATCAGGACTATTTCTTGATTTTCGAGACTACTTAAATATTTCCGAGACTATTTCATGGTTTTGAGAACTATTCGTTTAACATATTTATCGATATTTATATCGATAAATTTATGAACTTTTAAATCGTTATATTTATCGATATATTTATCGGTATTTTTTAGATATATTTATTGATATTGTTATCGTTGTAATAATCGAAATTGTTATCGATATATTTATCAATATTTAAAAAATGAAATAGTTCCTAGAATCCCAAAAACCTCGAAGCAGTCTGGAAAATCTCGAAGTGGTCCCGAGAACCCCAAAACTTTTAGAAACCTCGTGTACTCTTGGAAATCCCGAAATAGTCCCCAAATAGTTCCAGGAATTCCGAAAACTCCGGAATAGTCTCAGGTATCTCGAAATATTCCCAAAAGTCTTAAAAATCCCGAAGTAGTGTCGAAAATCCGAAATATTCCAAAGAATCTAAAAATAGTCCGGAGAATCCCGAAAATCCCGAATATATCGAAGTAGTCTCAAAAAACCCGAAAAAGTTACTAGAATATCGCAAATTCTGAAATAGTCCCAAAAATGGCGAAGTAACCCCGAAATTTTGCCTATTAATTTTGATTTCCATAAATACATTCGGAGATGTGCCATTGCCTGCGACGGCAGTTAGAAAAATGTTTTCTAATTTCGATATCGTCAAACGCAGGTATTTGAGATTGGTAGTACGCACCTCTAACTGCTCAGCCACAGCGACTACCGTAAAAATATATACAAGTTCCNCAGTCCCAAAAATGGCGAAGTAACCCCGAAATTTTGCCTATTAATTTTGATTTCCATAAATACATTCGGAGATGTGCCATTGCCTGCGACCGCAGTTAGAAAAATGTTTTCTAATTTCGATATTGTCAAACGCAGGTCTTTGAGATTGGTAGTACGCGCCTCTAACTGCTCAGCCACAGCGACTACCGTAAAAATATATACAAGTTCCACGTTTGATGTTTACCAACATACTTATACTTATACTCACATCCGCATACTGCAACACCGTTTCCCAACTAGGTTGACTATCACCAAAATGCAATCTCATCAGCCGTTCTCCATATTCACTTCGCTTATCCGCACTCACATTCGCATCATCCGGCACCAAATATGTTGCGTCCTCACTTAATTTTGTCATTAAATCTGGATATTTACGTGCCTCGCTAAACATTAGCAATCCCTCTGAACTGTTGCCACCAATGAGCAATGGTATCGCATTACCCCAAGCGGTACGCATCATTTCCACAGGCGATTGTGGTAAAACACAATGTTTGCTCTTATATGCCTCCACGGTCGGACCGAAACTGAACATCAGTCGTTGATGACGCTCATCTGTGGTGAGTAGGCCTTCACACACTTTCACCATAGTGCTAGCCTTGCAGTGTTGCAGGTGCTGCAATACTTGACTGTCAACATTTTCGCCACGATAGCCAGTAGCTTTAGCCAAACGATAAGCCCAATTGTGTTGTGGTACATTTGCCCACGGCGCTAGGGCAGTGCCGGACATGAGTACACATTTGTGAAAAAGGCCACGCGTTTGTTCGGTAAGCATCATGTAGTGTGCTGAGGCAGCGCCTGCACTTTCGCCAAACACTGTTATATTGTCGGGATTACCACCAAAGAAATGGCAGTTTTGCTTCACCCAACGTAGTGCCATCACTTGATCCTTGAGACCGGCATTACCGGGCACATCCAACTCGGGGTCATCGAGGACGAGGAAGCCTAAAACGTGAAGAAAGTGGTAAATAGTTAGATACTTCTTTATGAAATATTTAATTCTAAACACACAACACTTTACTCATCCTCCTCTACTAGTATGGATCTATCTGGCGCAAATTAAAAAAAAGTGGCAGTTAGAGGACTAAAATATCTGTCAAAATTTTTAAGCCAAGATCAAGGTCATCTGACACAAAAATCTACTACCAATTAAGAAAGGTGGAATGGATAGTTTCTATCTATTCGAACGACATGTCCCAGCCAGCGGAGCCGCTGAATTTTAATTCGCTGCACTAACTATATCCATATCGTTGTAAAGCTTATAGAGCTCATCGATAAATCGTCTGTGATATTCGCAATCGCCAAAGCGCGAACGCCCGTAAATCTTGCTCCGAATCTTTCTCTCGGAAACTCCAAGAGCCGCCCCATCAGATGTTTTCGTTGTACATGTCCCCGCGCCATACACCAGGATGGGCCTGATGAGTGACTTATAGAGTGTAATTTTTGGACGACGAGAGAGGACTTTACTTCTCAGTTGTCTACTCAGTCTAAAGTAGCACTTGTTCCGCTGAATTCTAAGGCTGGCATTATTATTGGTGTTAATGCTGGTTATTAAATAAACCAAGTCGTCTACTTTTTCAAACTTGTAACTGCCAATAGGGCCGTGGGTGCCAAGTTGCTTATGCTCTGGCTATTTGTTTGAGAACAGCAGATACTTGGTGTTGTTCTCGTTCAACACCAGACCCATTCGCTTTGCTTCTCTATCTATTTATGAGAAGGAAGAACTGACCTAGCCATTGTTTTTTACCAATAATGTCGATGCCGTCGGCTATGCCAGTAATTGTAAAGTATAGTGCCTGGGCAACTTCTTTTCATGCTGTTGAAAGCGGCTTTGAAATCGAAGATAAGATGGTGCAAGTCTATCCTATTTACACTGAAATTCCATTCGTCGATCATGCGTTCATCTGACCATATTCTACATAATAGAAGTTAATGCATACACCTTATCAGCTTCTCGCCGCCATGCTTGAGTATCTCGGCTGGCAGGCCGTCAGCTTTGTTGTGTTTGAGCCGCGTAATCGCTGTTCGTGCCTTATCATAGTCAGGCGGTGGGCCATTGACTCCATCGCCATCGCTTGGGGGCTCGGGCTCGTCTTCTCTACGATGTAGCCGCCTTTAGCGCGGATAATAACATCGCGTCTGTCTGGGAATGCTTCATAGGCTGCACCAATGTGGGCTGGTAATATTTTGTGCCAGTTTTGCCGAAGAGCAATCTTCAAGGCATTGACTGTCTAATATCTTTTAGTTGATACTTTGGCCTCGAGAAAGGACTACGTGTGAAAATCTAATGGATGTATGTCTGGTGAATATGGTGGCCAGACGAAAGAGACGAAGCTCGGAGGTGTTTTTTTTTTTTAAAAGGAAACATTTTGAGTGCCTACTCCTTTACTAAATTTGCTGTATAATTTGGTTGAGGTCCCAAACTGGCTGTCCCCTGAATTTTGCAAATCAAATCTTACATTCCCTACGACTGGCCTTACAATATTCTAAAAGAATTCAACGCTATTAAAGTCAACCAGTTAGTACTCGTTGGACGTTTCAAAAGTGATAATTCCGATCCTACCGTCAAAGAGCGCTTTAACGACAACGTTTATAGACAGCGAATTGAAGGCAATTTTGGACGAAGACCCGTGTCAAACCCAAGAATAACTTGTGGAGATATTAGTCGAGAGACATTTTATTGCGACTAGAAGCCAGAAAGTCGGAACTGAGTGTCTTACGAACTCAAACAATGGATATCGAACGGCGTGTCGCTCTTTCCCAAATGCTCCTTCTACGGTTGTCCCCGTCGAGGAAAAATGAAATCAATACGACATTAAAAGCTCCAGAAGGCGCACGTTAAGCACGGCGAATTCGAACCACCGACGCCAAAACTTGCTATGCATGACCGAGAGGTGATATTTCGCATTTGGTGGGACCAGAAGGAAATCCTGTACCACGAGTTTCTGAAAATTGGTCGGACAATCGATTATTGTCTGCTGAGTCCTTAATTTTCTACCATGAAAATCCCGACCGAGCATGTCACACAAGTGGTCAGAACTTNACTGTTTCCCAAATGCTCCTTCTACGGTTGTCCCCGTCGAGGAAAAATGAAATCAATACGACATTAAAAGCTCCAGAAGTCGCACGTTAAGCATGGCGAATTCGGACCACCGACGCCAAAACTTGCTATGCATGACCGAGAGGTGATATTTCGCACTTGGTGGGACCAGAAGGAAATTCTGTACCACGATTTTCTGAGAATTGGTCGGACAATCGATTATTGTCTGCTGAGTCCTTAATCTTCTACCATGAAAATCCCGACCGAGCATGTCACACAAGTGGTCAGAACTTATCTCGTTGGTACCGAATGAGAAGTCCTAAGCCGCCCACTTTATGGCCACCAGACTACCATTTGTTCCGGTCGATAAAAAATCATTTATAATTGATTTGTTTCCTTATAAGCTTAAAATCATATCTTCAGTTTAATGCAAAATAGCTTAAGACATTTAACTAAACTAAGAATTTTAAATATGCATTTCCCGAGCATGCGGGATTATTTCCATAGTTCCGTTGCTAACTCAGTTATTTTAAAGACTACTAAATAATTTTTTTTTTTTTAGATAAATACTTACCCAAAGGACCCAGTCGATAAGTGATTGTAATTAAAACAACATTTTCCATCATAAAGTAATCCGGACTGTACATGTCGCGAGAGGCTTCACCCATTTGAAAACCACCACCGTAGATCCAAACCAACACCGGTAAGGGTTTTTGGGGATGCAACTGCAAATACAAAAGGAAAGGTTATACAAAACTCTTCTGTAAGCTGAAACATATATTAAAGAATTATTATACTCNATTGTAATTAAAATAACATTTTCCATCATAAAGTAATCCGGACTGTACATGTCGCGAGAGGCTTCACCCATTTGAAAACCACCGCCGTAGATCCAAACCAACACCGGTAAGGGTTTTTGGGGATGCAACTGCAAATACAAAAGGAAAGGTTATACAAAACTCTTCTGTAAGCTGAAACATATATTAAAGAATTATTATACTCAAAAAAAAAAAACAAAAAAAAACTCACTTCTTTAGTGAAGACATTCAAGTAAAGACAATCCTCTCGCCCCTGCACTTGCTTCAGTATGATATTGTGTTGACATGGCTTCGGGTGTTCGCGCGTGCAACGGCGTACATCTGTCCAAGGCTCGGGCTCTTCTGGCGCTCTAAATCGTAAATGGCCAATTGGCGGCTTAGCAAATGGTATACCCTCGAAGCTGTAGTAAGAGCCACCATATATTGAATGCCATTTAACGCCCTTCACTTTGCCATAAACTGTATCGGTGATGACTTTTTCATTTGTGCGCATGCGCTTTTGCTTGGTTTTGAATTTAACATAACTGTAATGAAAAAACAAAGAAAAGCAGTCAGCAAAATATGGAAATTGCTCTAATCGCAAAATAACATGTTTGTGCATTAAAATTCTTCTGCTTGATATAAAAAAGTGTGCCAATGCCTGCCTGCCTGCGTACTCTAAAGTTCAAATGAACCCGGAGCGAACTTCTGCCGTCAACTGATAAGCGTGCAGCTGTCAATAAAAATTTTTTCTATCCGGGTGTCTGCCAAGTGTAATCTGCTTGGAATTATGAACTGCTGACCGCCGAGAAAATATGTATTTGTTTATAGTAGCGGCATAATTGAGAGAGGGTGGGCATAAATATAATGCTGGGGTTCTATGCAATCTAGGCTCTTTACTTAGCGTTTTCTTACCATTTATGTATTTTACCTACGTCAGCGAATATATACGTACGCAAATAAAATACTTTGCTTAAAATAAATATTTTGCAATTGAAAACCTATAAACCAAACACAAGTCCGGTTTGTATAATCAAAAGGCGAAGTACTTTATCGCAATTCAAGCAAATTGCGCAGCGCAAAGGCGGGCTCCAGCTTCTACTCAGAACGCCAAGCCACTTCTACGATTGTGGCAATTAAAGGAATACATTGCTTGAACGTGATGAACTGTCGCTGAATGCCACAAGTAGCTATATACATACATATATTTCTATATATGCGGTCACTAAATGACTAAGCTACTGATTAACTGGCGGATTGACTTGCTGTGTGATAATCTGTGCTTTGCATTGCTTACTGAGAAGACATGCGCCACTGAAAATTAAATATTTTTGTAAACATTCACTTGTAAAACTAATCTATATACTTGCAATTATTTTCAAGCGGTTATTTTCCGGTTTTCGTTAGGGTAGTTTATAGTACATCAACTTGCTGATAATGTGAATAATTAAACAAGTTACACTTCATAGAAATTGTGTATTCATTAAACTTGATCATTAATTTATTTGAATGCATGCGAGTTGAGAAGGTCAAAGCTGATTCTAATAATACTGACATTATATGGGGATTCGCTGATTGAGGCAAACTCATATGTACATACATATCTACATATGTACGTTTAATATACTCAACGTTCATTAGGGTGGCTCTTATAAAACGTTTTTTAGAAATTTTAAAGCGCTACTATAAAGTCCTCGGTTCAGTGACATAGTTCAAAGTGGCATAGCTGCAATTTTAAAATTCTGTATTATGTCACTCCTTGTGTAGTGACAGAAGCAAAATTTTTTTATTTGGTGCAATGTCACTATATAAACAGTGACAAAATTCCAAATCCCTCATGTAACTTTACAAACCGAAAGAATTTGAAATATGCCAGAGTAATGATAAAAGGCATTTTTATCAAAACACTGCCATAGAAGTTGGCTTTGCCTACATTATTTTCTTGTCAACGCCTATAGGCGATCTAATATTACAACATAAGTTTGTATAACTGAGAATAATTACTTACTAGACGCCACGTTTGCTAAGGTTCCACGATGGTTCTTCTTTCAGAGGAGGAAGCATCGAAATCCTAACCCCAAAAAACCGCCAGTCTGACACTTTAACCCACTAAACGTCCCCCCAAACTTTGTCGGAAATAAAGCTACAGTCAGATTTTGATCTTATTTCCCATTTAAAAGTGAAATAAAGCAAATTTTGCGTTACTGCTGTTTTTAGTTATGTCATGGAATAATATTAGTAGTTTGGAGGACACCAATTAATACGCAAGCATTTTTTTAAATAATAGAGAGTGTATACCCCACTACGAGACGGATTATCTGAGTCATTTCGGTCCTATACTTAAAGATGAATTTCAGGGTCACCAATGAGGTCATAGGCTATCGCAAGGGCATGCGGATGGCTGCTCCCTTGCATATTTACACAGATGGCGCGGCAGTGCATCTACGCGGAGTCTTATAAGCTGTCAGTTTGTTGTAGCATTTTCCAGTCAGAAATTTCAGCCATAAAGAAAACGGCAGTCAAGCTGCGATATTATCGCACACACCTGGCGAATAATACGCCGATACGGAGGAATCCATGCAGATAACTCTGGCGTTATTGACGCTATTTCGGAAACTGTGGCAATACAAATATTTCCGATAAATATTTCCGAACGGCTTGGGACTAAATATTCCCGACGTTTGTCAGAATTATACGGTGGGTCCCGATATCTTTCACCAAATAAAATTCCCGTGGCTTTCAAATAAATTTTTTCTCTTCCTCGATTATCATACTGAACGATATGTCTGCTTCGGGTTATTCTTTTAGCGAAGATTTTCAGAATTTTTGGAATCAGCGGGCTTTATATCTCGCTTAATATAGTGTATTTAAGTTGTTTCAGCTCAATTATGACAAATCTGCGTTTTTAGTTTACTTTTTTATTTGTCGTAACTGACATTTAGTGTATCGAGTATTTATCGATTCCTTTATGTTTCCTAAGAAAAGTAGAATTACACAACCTTTTGCAACTTAACGTATGTAAATTATTGAGCTATCGAAATATTGCGAGCCACCCTAATGTTCATAAATGTATCTTCAATAGAGTTGAGTGAATGTGTTAATTAGACACATTATTGACATATTTTTGAGATGATCTTCAAAACAGAAATTTTATTTGAACGAATTAATGCTAAACAAAAACCGATCCTATTTTTATTCTGCTAATTGAAGGCAGTAGGGTTATCATATTAAAAAAAAATATATATATATTAAAAATACCGAGGCATATTCATAGTCGAAATAAAGTCGACTCTAAAGTTAGTCGCAGAATTTTCATATATATTCTTCGAAAATATATTAGGTAGATAGATATTTGAAAGAGGTGTAGGGAGTATATGTGCTCTCTCTCAGGCCACATTGAGCCTACGCCGTTAATTTTTCGACTCGCTACGACATCACACTCCAGAAGCAGGTGAGATGGTGAATCGCAGAGAGGAAAGAGATCTGTTGACCAGATTCCCAGCTTGTGCAGATGTTCTCTTAATCGACAGTGTCCAGTGAGGATGCCTGTACTTATTGTAAGTTTTGTTTGTGGAGGTAAATTAGAAGTTTACAACTTTTTAGATCTAACCCCTTTGGGGCCTTGCTATTTTAGTAGCTTTAAATTTTCTTTTCTTAGATTGTGCCGCGTATTCATTTATTCAATTCTTTTTACTTCAATTTGTTAATAAATTTTAGAAAAAAAAGTTATCAAAATTATAAAAATATTTACCAAAACATAGTTATTTAAGAATCTATTTTGGGTAAAAGTAATTTTCATGAAAATATATAATTAACTGAACAGTTTTTTAGGGAAATAAACAAAAAATCGCAGCAAAAATTTCCTATGTTTTGGAAAAAATTTTATATTTTTGTAAATAAAAATTTTAAAATAAATAATTGTTTAATATTAACGGTAGGGTACTAATTATTCACGCAAAAATAATGTAGGTAAAAATAAAAAATTAAATGCTCGCCAGAATTATAAAAAATATACCCACCCTTATGTATGAAAAAAATTATTTCTTTGGGGAAAACAATATTTGGGAAAATATTAAAAAAATATAAAGTTGCTTAAAAACTCAACAAAAAAATTTTTTCGAAAAAATTATTGATGAGATAAATGAAATTTTTTTTGGAATACAAAAGCTTCGAGTTAAAATTAATGAAATTCTTTAGGGCAAATTATATTCTAAATTGAGTTTTTTATAAAAGAATTTATTTATCTACTAATATCTCGGTTAATCCCATTTTACAATTCAAGTCATGAGTTTGGTCCTAAAAGGTTTAAGTAAGTCGTAATTATTTTTGTTTCAACCTCATCTGGGTCGTCGAGAGCTTGATTTGGGTTCCTTGGTTTAGCGATCAAAACTGCTGAAAAGTATTTCCTACACATATATCTTTAAGATTGCAATGTCTGACACCAGATTTATACTTTCATCATTGAGAGAAACAGTGTCGGTATCGTGTCGCATTCCTGCCTGCTATCATCTGATGCTCTTTGTACTCACTTCTTTTGCTTCACTTTTCGTCGTCTGATGTATCTTTTTCCTTGTTAATCAATACTAATATTAGCCTCTACAGCCTTAATTTAATTCGACATATGAACATTCGCATATCGCAGAAAAATATAACTTTTTAAGTATTGTAAAATAAATTTGCGAGCAATTAGTTATGCTACCTTATCGCAAGCAAAATTACTTGGTCATGCATTTTTGATAAATATAAGAACATTTTTTATTGACATTTTGATTATGCCTAGTTAAAAAAACCAAATCATAGAACAAATGGCGGTGAAATTTTACACGCAGTGGCCAATTAAACGCTGTACAGCAATGCAAAAAAAAAACACCATAAATTACTTTGATAGAGCAGAGAAAAAAATTATCAAATTTTATAAAACGGTTTATCAATCCGTACGCTGTCTGATATTTTCCATTCGTCATCACGTTACCGTAAATAATACATCTTTTTTTTATAGGTTTGCTTATTCTTATGTCTAATTTATTGCTATCACGTTCTGTTTTATTGATTGTAAACAAATGTATGGGATAGGTTTGTAAATTATATAATTACTACCGGCTTGGTGTTTTTGTATAAAATAAGAAATAGCAAACATTGTTTTTGCACTTTAAATAATTTTAAGATGCCAAATTATTTCTTGTTGTTTTGATTATTTAGTGGTCTTGTAAATGCGACGAAATTTTTATGCAGCGTACTCTGATAGAAGGGGTTCAGGCCCGTTTTATGGTCCTAAAAGTTTATGGTTTACCGTTAAACAGTTTTACACTGTTATTTTCTTATACAAATGCACTGCAATTGTGTAAATGCACTGGTCTAGATACGGTGGCTATATACATACATATGTATATATGTATGTATGTATATGGTGGCTATAGATTAACAAGCTTACTGCTTTTCACTGTGTGATGCAATCAGCGTATTAACTCCAAGTGTCAATAAACACTTCGCCCAACGATATGGTTCAGCTATAAAACCAGCAAACGAAAGGCTTAACAATTCAGCAAAAGGGCCCAGCATGAGGGATGGGTAAATTCGATATTCGAAACTTCGAGTTTCGAGTTTTAGCTGTTAAGAGGTAAATTTTTGATATCAAAATTTGTGGTGCTGAAATTCGGATCAAATCGAATTTT